TTTCATTAGTGTATAATCACTGGAGTATAGGAATCATTGTGTTTTTGTTACATTGGAATAAGCCGTTTTTATCTACAGAGGGAGCAGCAGAGTCCGCTATGCTGAACCGCCATATTTCCACAGCAGTCCAGAAGGGACAAACCAAACACTGGCTCTAGATAGGGCCTTTTACAAGTTTCACAGCCACTATTTCTCCTTCACACTTGAAAGGTGAGCTATTTTCAGTTAGTTGCAATCCGCAACGTCACCACTAGATGCCACTAAATCCTACTCACTGCTTCTTTAAAGCATTTTCATAATAACAATGTGTCAAATGACAATGTTAAAACAACTGATAATGTGAAAGGGGTAGTAGTGATGTATGGCCTACACCTTTACTGTTTTTGTTCACTCTCACTGCTCTCATAATGCCGCTTTCAGCCGTAGCAGCTGCTTTTCGTTAGAAAGCCCCAAAACCCCCACTCTATAGTACTGACCCAGCAGCAAACAGCAGACATACACAGTTAGAGACTAGCTGGTGAAGATGAATATAGCATTTAGCCGCTTAAGTAACAGATATTTACCCCAGGAGTTGGTAGAGCCTGATTCTATTGGAGTACTGTTTTGAAGGCTCATGTGTGGCTTAAGTTTTGCCGCCAGCAGTGGTGACGGTGGTGCAGGAAACAACGGTGAGGTGCCTGGTCACAAATAAACAGAACACTAAAATATGTTCCTAAAAAAAGATTTGAGGCAATAAACAGGTAATGCAGTGAGGTGCACTGGACGGAATCAATGAGAATGAATTCAATCACAAGGTAGCCAAGCTCTAAAGCATGGCTATTATTGTCTATTTCACTCTAAATGGGACGATAATTTCCTAAATGAACATCATGCTGGAAGAAGACTTGAAACTAGCGATTGGGACCATAAACTCATTTGGAAACGGCTGAAGCTGAACTCATAAATCAAGTCAGAAATAGGGTCATCTTCTATTAAATTAAATGCAACCAAGCTTTTAGCTACCAACAGGGCTGAATCCTGGTGGTACTTATTTTATAGACCTCCCTCCACTATTTTTTATGCAGTCTATGGTAGAGACCTGAAACTGGAATTCATCATGTGGACATCTCAACTTGATGAAATATAAAAATAAAATCAGTTTCTGCAGGCCTCATTGTCATACACAGGTGTACATAAAGAGTATATGTAATACGTATTGCTAATTGCACAGAAAAAGGTCACTGTATTGCACTCACTCTCTTTATCCAAGTTGGCCTTAATCTGTGCTTGAACCTATTTCTGTCCTGTTGCATCAACATGTTGGAGGGAAGTCTGAAAAATCCTGTGGCTATCAAACACATCAGAATGTGGGAGAGAATGCTAGCTGCGAACTTAATCTGAAAAAAAACAAAAACATTTCCCACCGGGCTAACAGGAAGCATGGCGGGTCAATAGCAGGCCAATTAGTCCTTCCCAGTGTGAGCTGACAGGACTTCTTGCCTCACACAACAAAACAGGTCCAACAGGAGAGAACACAAAACCGGTTTTAAAATTACTTAAATAATTTAATAGACTTAATAGACATTTTAATGATCACTTATAAGGCTTGTAGAGGGTTAGCTCCAAAACATATATATGTGATCACCTGACTTTGACTGCGTGTGTGTGTCCAGAAGAGGACACTGATAGATACCTACAGTGCAGAAGCAGAGGGCCACTGACCAAGCGGCAGTATTTGGAGAACTCAGGGGTGAGACGGGGTTAAAACTATCTACTTTACGGTAATAACTAAGGCGAGTGCAATAAAAGTGATTTTGTGACAATATTCCAACCTTGTGGTACTGACTTAATTTGGGCGCGGCAAAGGTATAAATCGGCCACTTCTCATAAAACACTAGAAGACAGCGAAAGCCACAGAAACAAATCATTATATCTAAATCAGTTGTGAATAATAGTCCGCTGAGCTGTCAACATTAATGCCTATATATGTTAGTTTTTGTACTAAAAGTGAACGTTACAGCTCTGACTCTGTTGGGGTCTGTTAACCCTTAGTACTTTATATAAATATATATGTATATGTTTGCCCTTTCAGCTAGGATGCTGTAAACTTTTCTGAAAACCGCCTGCATCTCCTCTGACCATTTTGGGTTTTGTTTGTGTCCAACAGCACAGCTTGTGTGCCTCTCCCTCGTCCTCTCTCTCCTCTCTCTCTCTCCTCTCTCTCTCTCTTACTTCTCTTCCTTGTCCTCTTTTTTTCACCAGGTCCCCTGTGCTGACCATTGCCACCCCGGGACCGTCTCTCTCTCTCATCTGGCTGTCAGCTTTGGATCTGGATCTCTTACCTCCAGGGGATTCTACCTCTCCCTTTCTCCCTTTCTCTGCGTTGTGTGCATGTTGTCTCTCTCTCACTCTGTGTTTCCTGTCTCCTACATGTGTGAACGGTGCGCTTAAGCTTTGCCTCTTGTGCATTTGTGCAGTCTGTCCTCTTCCAGGTCTCCATGGTGGATAGGAAGTTGTATGGCTCATCTCATCTTGGGAGAGGGATCTCCCCTCAGTTGTTTCTTCCATTTTTTCCCCCTATTAAAGGATTCTTAGGTTTTTTTCCTTATCAATTTAAGGAGTGTATCATACACTGTAAAGACTGCGGAGCCTCTCACAAAAATATGTGATTTGCGGTACTGTGCTGTATAAATAAAATTTGGATTTGACTTGACTAATGGACTGAACGTACTAGGAGTCAGAGGACACTGACCTACACACAGAACAACCTCATTCCTCTCAGTCTGCAACAGAATGATGTCCTCCCATTTGTACTAGTTAGCAATAAGTATTAGTATTGTCAGTGTTTATTCTCAGTCAGATTTCCAAACAAAGATCTTCCATAATGAACCTTATTACTTAGGTGCTTAATACAAAAAGGGTGTAGGGAGTGCATATCTTCTTCTTTCTTTTATTTTGGTCAGAGAGAAGACCATCTGACTTCTTTATGTGTACAAGGACACATCCATCAGGAGGTCTCCATCATGAAGCTTTTTTCATATCAGAAAAAAAGTAAGTCCTGGACCTTGGAAAGTGTGTGGGAATAAGCTCACATATTCAAGGTAATTAAATCTGATCAGTTAATTTAGTCAACTGAAATCATGATTATAAGTTCTTTAAGTGATTATTAAAGAGTAACTAAACCCCCAAACCACATTTTTCTGCTCAAAATCCAAGTATATGGGTATTTACTAATGTTGCTGATTGATTCATGTCCAATCTTCTCAATTACCTGTTGTTTTTTTCTTGTTCTTTTGCCTTCTTTATATTCTTTAGAAACACAAATGTACTGTTCATGAGATGCCATTATAGCAAAATAAAAATAAAAAGTCAAGTTGAATGAAAAAGAAGAAAAGAAAATAATTATTTTGGTTTCGGACAAATGGGAATGTGTGCGTAAAAATCCCTTTGTTTTTTGTGTTTATGGAACTGTGTCTGTATATATAGGATAAAGTGTATTTCAACTTCAGAAAAGACTTGAGATATTTTGTGGTTTTATTTGATTAAATGTGCAAAAATGCTCACACGCCACGATTACCCAATGTAGCGTGCGTAAAACTTTTAACAACGTGCGTAAAATCATGTTGGTCTGTGTAGCTGAACAGAGGTTGGATGAAACGGTTCCATAACAATTTCCCTCCCTCAAAGGGAGGAGCAGGGGTTGTGGGATCCATGCAGAGAGGGGTGGGAATCGGCAGAGTTTAGGGGCGCGCCTCTCCTTTCCTAAACGGTCTGACTGCTCGCTCCTGCCCAGAGCTCATTCCTCTCTGCCCTTTCTCCAAGCCCGTGCGTAACGGTAGAGCGGAGGATGAACTCACTAGTGAAATGGGCGCTCATCCTCTTCGTCCTCGTCTCCATCATTCTCAACATCGTCCTGATCGGCATCCATTCCGGCAGGGCGCCCAAATGTTCCGCTCAGCGCGTCCACCCGCTGCGGGGCCAGCACAACGAGCGCAGCCTCGTGTTCGCTGACCTCACCCAGGAGGAGTACGCGCAGGTCCAGCAGTACATGCTCAAGCAGAAGGACTTGGATATATCCACCAACCAGATCACCAAGCCGTCGGAAAATTTCTTGTTTTTAATAGACCTATCTCTGCCCAAGAAAGCGGACGTGTTGGCTTACTTGGACCAGGAAACTGGTCGCAAGCCGGTAAGAGAGGCGACGACGGTGGTCTTCTACGGCGCCCGTGGCTACATTAAGGAGTATGTAGTGGGACCTCTTCCCAACCCGACATACCACAGAGATGTCACTAAGGAGAGATACAAAATGGACCTGCCTATCACCGCGCGCACGGTCACCATCGGGGAATACGTTTTGCTTTTCCAGTTTCTTAATAAGGAGGTCTTCTCCAAACTGCCGGTGCTCATGAAAGAGAGCTTCGACGTGAGTGGGCACGAAGGTCTGAACGCATTCGAGCAGATGCCCCGCGGGGTCCGATCCGGGGACAGAAAAACTTGGATATCTTTCTTCAGGAATCTGAGCGGCATGTACATCAACCCGGTGGGCTTTGAGGTGCTGGTCAACCACGAGAGCGTAAACGCGTCCAGCTGGAGAGTGGAGCGGCTGCTTTATAACGGCCAGTACTTTGACACCGTAGAAGAACTTCAATCAAAATATAATGCGGGATCTGTGAAGAAAATAGTCTACAAGAAGGGGCCGAACTATAGTTCGTTGAAACCCAAGCACAAGCCTCTGCAGATCGGCCCGCAGCTGTTTTACGCCGAGGGGAAGCGCTACAGCGTCAGCAACAACCACGTCCTGTACCTGGACTGGAGCTTTGCCTTCGGGCTCAGCTCTCTCACGGGCATGAGGGTTTTTGATGTGCGTTTCAAGGGCGAGAGGATTGTGTACGAGCTGAGCGTGCAGGAGGCCATGTCGGTGTACGGTTCAGTGACTCCGGGGATGATGATGACCAAGTTTCTCGACACAAGCATTGGGATAGGGCGCTTTGCGCACGAACTGGCCCGTGGCGTGGATTGCCCCTACGAAGCCCACTACGTGGACACATACCGCTACATCGATATCCCACACCCGGCCCGGTTTAGGAATTCAATCTGCATCTTTGAGCACAACATGGGCCAGCCCTTGCGGAGGCACTTCTCTGACTTTTTCCACAACAGTTACGGAGGGATGGTGAACAGCGCCCTGGTGTTCAGGACCATCACGGCTATAGGGAACTATGACTACATGTGGGACTTCATCTTCTACCAGAGCGGGTCAGTGGAGGCTAAGGTGCACGCCACGGGGTACATCTCCTCCTCCTACCTGGTGGAGGGTAGTCTGAAACACGGACACCAGGTGGCGGAGAATGTGCTGGGGAACATCCACACCCATTTCATCAACTTCAAGGTGGACCTGGATGTGTTGGGTGAGTGGCAGAACTACATTTAAACCTGTTTATCTGTGCAGGGCAGAGAGCTACAACAGCCGCACCAGAAAAAGAAGGGGATCAGTATCATCTTATAACGGGGAAGGTTTATTGTTATAACAGGATGTTTTCAGTTTAAAACAAGATATTTTCATGTTATTACGATATACAAACTAATCAAGTTATAACAAGAAACCTTTCCATTAAGTGTCTTATTCCCCTTCAGACAAAATACAAATAATCTGCTTGGAACTCTAATTTGTGTCTGATCTGCTTTTTCCACAAAAAGTAGAATTTCCACATTAATAATCCCAGAATCTCTGAATATGCAAATGTTGTGGATTTCTAAAGTTTTCCTGTTGGACACAAGATGTCTCCTCCTTNNACACTGTACAAGTTGATACTGGATCAGGAATGACTTCCTAAATATTTGTGATGTAACAAACCATGCTCCTAAGCCCTGCCCCTTAAAATCAGATTTTCAGTGAGCACAGAGAAACCTTCCACTTTCAGCAGATGAATGTGAAAACATCCTTCACATTCACATTCATCCTTGTCTCTCTGCTCAGACAGCATTTAAACATCACACTGTAGGAACAAGAAGAACAACTGATGTTTGACTGGAGGTGGACTTTAAAATACCCATGGGAAATTCTTTACAAAACAATTTGGGCTTTGGTCTCCAACCAGTGATGGGTTTTTCTTCCTTGCTTGCCCAAAGCAAGCAGCCAAAGTACTATTGACTGTGAAAATAATTCTGCTGTTATCAGTAGCTGATGTGACAACATAGACTAGATGTGAAAAAGGGCCGTGTGCCCATTGAGGTTTGACTTGAAACTAATGTGGGAATAGATATGCAAAATATGCATAGATAATAAAAAAAAAAATATATATATATAACACTTTATATTTTATAAGGTACACATTAGGGCTGCATAATTCATTGAAATATTATTGAAATTTCAATTTGGCTAAGTGCAATCGCAGAATTGCAGATGTTTTTAAAAAAAGGTAAAATGTGTGACAAACTGCATTATTATGAAGCACTAAACTGCTGCAGAGATGCTGTGGGCTACAAATCAAGTTCTACAGATGTAAGAAAACATGTTTGTTTGGTACAGACCCCAACAAATCACATTCATGATTTTTTTCAATTAAAGTTAAATTTATGATGCCAAGTTGATCATTGCCACAGTAATTGTGAATCATATCTCAATATCTGTCTCAATATTGCAATATGATGTTTTTACCATATCCCACAGCCCTAGTACACCTATTAACCATGCATATTAGTAACATATTGGCTCTTTATTATAAAACATTTATTAATGGCTCATTCTGCTTGTCTATATTCTACAACTACTAGACCATTAAGTGAGAGTTTTCCCTCAACAACATCGTAATTAACCTGTAACCTGGATCGATAAGAGCATCTGTGCTAAATGCAGTTCTGCTTTGGCTCAGAAACTACAAATATTATTGCAAACTTTATTTTTATTTTCCTCCGCAGGATTGAAGAATGTTTTCCAGACCAAAGACATGCAATATGTCAATATGTCGCTGCCATGGATGCCTGAGCACTTCGCTATGGTCCCTCAGTTGGTGGAGAAGCAACTCAAAACAGAACAGGTCTGTCTTCATCTTCTTCCACTTCCTACAAATGTTCCCTTGCCTTTAGGTTTCATATACTGGTTGACAGATATAGGATATGTTCAGTGGCCAATGCCGATATTTAGAAACCAGGGTGACCGATGGCCCATATATAATGCTGATATCAAAAC